AAAAAAAAAGAAACATAAGAATGAAATAAAAGATTTTTATAAGAATAAGACTAACTTAAGTTAAATAGATTACTATCAACTAATGCTGATCCAAGTGCAACACGTGGTTGTTTTGATGGAATTCCCGAATCACTTTAAGAATAGATGAAGTTTAAATCTTTTTTCGAAAACAAAATCATATAAAATAACTTACGTAAGTATTGGAATATTTTCTTTATCGATACGATCGAATACTGGTCGTTTACGTGTTGATCCTGATAAGAAATTTTGTAAAGATGAGATACTAAAAATCAACCACAAACAAAATAATTTATTAATTTTACAAATAAATATTTCGTTTTACTTCATAATGTTGATACTTTAATAGCTGATAATATTATACGATAATGTTGAATCTGTTCTATTCGGAACAACACATATGACTAGTTTAGTTAACTGGGCGTTTATATAGAGTACGGGGGATGACCATAATAATGGCGGACGTCCATGTAACACAAGAAACAGAAAGACATTCGTCCGTATGTAGGTATTTACACTATTCCTTTGTAAACGATAAACAATAGAGAATGTTTCTCGATTCGACGAGATAAAAGGTATATATGTATGAAGTATAGATATAATAGAAATTTGTCCTAAATAATTCATGAAACTAAGGTCAAATGTTCTTTTTCGAGAAGTTGAAAATTTTAAGTTATATAGAACTTTATATTGATTTATCAAGTATTTTTATTTAAAGTAAAGTATATATAATGATATGATCTAAAGACTTTAATGTAATTCTACAATTGTTAGTTGTACTAATCATATCGCCTTAGACCGTTATATTGCATAAAAAAAACGGAAAATGTATAAATAAAAAGATACACATACACCAGAAAATAAAAGATTCGAAAAGTTTATGGTTTACAATTTTGTTTTTAAAAAAATGTTGTATCTTCGGAGAAGGCACCACATAATCGAAATTCATCTTGTGCTAACATACAATACATTCGCTGTGGGGATGGTCTTGAACGTGATTGAGATGGACGAGCTATTGATGCACGAAGAATATATTCTTTACCAGCTGGTGTCATAAATTGATTTTTAACTTCGGATAAATCATTGTTGCTACCCTATTAATATATATATATATATAAAATAAATAGATATTAATAAATTTGAAATTTACTTGAGTTGATAAAGGTTTCGATGTAGCAAATAGAGATGCTAACTTTTTTCCTAATCGACTATTTGCAGCACCTTTGACAGGCATCTCAGGACGTGTATGTAATTCTATTGCAAATCGTGTCATTTCTTCCTAGATAAAACATAAATTTAATTATTTTTAACGAATAAAAAACATTTTAAAGAACTTTTTCTTGTTGATTAAGATCTGAAGGAAAAAGTTTTTCTTTAAATGATTGAAATCGACACATATGTTGTTCAATAACTGTCAGACATTCAATATAATCCTGAAAATAACTTACAATATATATATAAATAGTTCAAATTCTTTACTTGTTGTAATTTCTTTTTTCGTTCATCTTTTCCTTTAACAAGAAGAACTGATTTAGCATAAAATGTTTCAAATAAAACTGATGAATTTTGTTCTTCCATATCTTCAACTAAACAGAAATAATAAAAAGAACTCGATTATATAATTAACAATAAAAATACTGTTTTTTGTTATGCGGTCATAGACAACATGTAAAAGTACAGGTATTAATTGTTCAAGAATTTCACCAGGTGATAATGATGATAATTTTTGGAGAATCTATTAAAAAATAAATTTCGTTTTAAATGAAAATAGAAATTAATTTCTAAAAACTTTTTCAGCTTCTTTTCCATCATCGAATAAACGTTTTTGACGTCGAACAGATATTGGACGTGCTTGTTGCCATACTTCCATCCATAAATTATCTGGTAATTGCATACGTTGGCTTAGTGAATAAGATTTTTGCATATTTCCATCTTTATCGATTTCTTCTATTTCAATCCAATCACGTGGGGAATACCATCGAACGAAATCTTCTATTGTACCTAATGGATTTGCTGCCTAAAACAGGATTGAATTGTATTGTAACGTTATTTCATCTTAAATTACCTTGAAACTTTCCATATCGGATAGAAGTGATCGACTTTGCATTTTCGCACGTAATAATGTTGCTTCTTCACCAGACCCTAAACTAGTTAATACAATTGTTTGTTCATCAAGCATATCTTCTGTTGCTGGTGGACATTCCTAAATTATTTTATAAGATTTGATTGAAAATATAAATTAATTACCTGAGTAATAGGTATATAGAGAATATCATTTGAATAGAGTAATTTTAAATCACCACATGGTTTAAGACGACCGTCAGGTTGTAATTCTGATAGATTAGATTTTGATAGTGGAACTGTTGATGAACATTCATAAAATTCATCACCATCTTCATCTAATTCAGGCTGCGGTTGTGGCTGAGGCGGTTGTTGTTGTTCTTCAACAGTTGTTGTATCATTTTCATGTCGTAAACGATGTTCAATACAACAATTAAGCATTTGTAAATTTTGATAAAATTTTGAAAATGATAAATTAGGTGAACCAGATTCTAATCTAAAATTTTATTCTATTAGAAATTTTTGGTTAGAAATTATTTTATTTACCCAGGAATTAATTTTCCTGTTTCCCAATGTGTACGAAGTTCTTGTACAACATCAAACCATATATGAGCAATTGAACGAAGATGATTATATGAAGGTAAACTACAGATCGCAGCAAAACATACAACTAGACGATAGACAAAACTATCTTTTGGTACTGATTTTAATTGACGTATTCGTTCCGTATTTTCTGGATATTCTTCAACGAGGGATCGTTGTCTTGATAATGTTGGACGTTCATTGAAAAGATACTGAAATAGATTCGATATTAAATTATAGAAAATAAATATTGTTTACTTCAATCGTTTTTTCTACAACACTTGGAGGTAAGGGAGGATTAAATATATTAACACGTAATCTATTTGTTGTATTCGAAATTGAGGATGAAAACGATGTCCAATATTGTTGTGTACGACTATCAGAGATTCTTTTTATTGGATCAGCCATATTCGTTGAATTATTTGTTAGTTCTAAATAAAACATTCATTGAATATATCTTATTTTTTTTAATATTGAATAAATCTGATGTATATGGAGCAAATTATTTTTTAATCTTACTCACGAGATTTATTCGATTTATTTCGACTGTCTGAAAATTATTCAAATATTTTTACTTTCTTAATCTGTTCTTATTAATTAATATCCTTATGATAAAAAATCGAAATTACCATCATTAGTTTGAATTTTACCAAGTAATTGTTCGATTGATTCTCGTTGAGTTGATAATTTTAAATATTCTTGAACAGCTTCAGTAAGTAACACAGGTAAATCATCTAATAAAGTAACACCAATAGCCCATTGTTGAGAAAGTAATGGATCGAAATCATTACAATCATCATTTTCAGTAACAAGTTCTTCGGAAAATATTGGCCATGTACATGAAAGGTGAAGACCACTGACAGGATCATAAAGAGATCCAAATGGAAGATCAGTTAATACTGGCATGCCTGCTTCATCTCGAGGTAAGGCTTGTCGACTTGTAGTTGATTCAAATTCTTTTAATACATAAGTAAATCGAACAGCAACCATAACAATTGTATCATTTGAAATATTCGCACCCTAATACATATGAATTAATTTAAAGATAAACAAAAAAATATATATATACTAATTTTGATTTAAATATTTCTAATAAACCAGCTAAATGTCTATATTGATGTGGAGCATTTTTTAAATGACATATATTAAAATGTGTTCGAAGACCTGAACCTTCACATAGACCAATAAACATATTACGCCATTCATGTTGTACACGAATAAATATGGGTACATTACTAGAAAACAAATAATGAATTCTTTTAATAAACAATCAAATTAATTTTTTCACCATCCCACATTTGAAACAGCAATAGCTGTTGAACTGAGTAAAAGATTAGCACGATCTTCATCTGTCACAGCATCATTATTACGTTTCGGCGCCAGAATAATAAATTCGCGTAGACCATACCAATGCGATAAATATCTAAAAATAAAAGTATATTAAATCAGGTTTTCAATATTTTCAACCTTCACCCATCATCATCACTTAAGACAGACTATGAATTACTATTGATATATATTATTATCATACTCGTAGCATTATAGAAGTTATAGGCATTTAGTACTCACTTTTTTGGCAGCACGATACTAAACAATATAATTATTAGTAAATGAGCTTACACTAAGAGAAAATAATTGCGCTCCTTTTAGCCTCAAAGGAATTACACTAACAAGCTTCTTTTTTTCCCTTATATAGATAATAGAACATACGGTGAACGAGATGGAAAATCATTTCGTCTTGACATCATATCAGCCATTGCTCTTGGTGGAATAACTAAATAAATTTAATCAAATAAATTTAAAAAAATCTTGTTTTTTCTATACATGTTTGTTTTTCAAACGATACTGATGTTGTCATTTGTGGATTAATTTCTGTAGTTGATAATGAAGTACTTTCTGGTATTTGTAATGAAAAATGTGTGATAGTGTAAGAATGATCTCCAAATTCAAGTGCTTCATTATGTTCAATCCATTCCCCATCAGCAAAATCAACCTAATAATATTCAATAAAGGAAAGATTTGAATACAATAATTCATCAAACTTCAGTATTGGACATTTCAGGACCATTTAATTTCCATTCCGAAAGAATTTCTTCTATCCTTGCAATAAATCTATGAAAAACAATAAAAATTCAAATTCGAACTTTTTATTTTATTTTACCGTTCCCAATCCGAGGCTGTAGTATAATCTACTATTTCAAATATATCTTCATCTTCTTTAACAGTTGTCATTTTTATTTATATATATCTACAGGGTTTTAGTATTATTAATCTAAAACTGTATTGAAATAGAATTTTATTATCAAAAAAAACAAATAGTCAAATTACAAAAATATTATTAATAATTTCAATTACTTAATTATATAACAAAAACTATACATATAGGAATGAAAAATAATTCTATTAGAAGACTTCATATTGCATTCAACATAAATGTTTGGAATAATTATCTGAATAGATGTAAATATTTGATTAAATCTTCATATATAATGAATACGTTTAAGTTCAGCTGCTTTTTCTATAATTTTGTGGATGTCAGTATCTGGTGGATAATGCTAAAAATTAAATTTTTTGTAAAACATTATTACAAAATAGGTTAAACTAACTTGTAATAATTTAATATTTTGTGAATAATCCCCATTTAAAATTTGATCTCGTTGAAGACTAAAACATGATGAAAATTTTTAAGTATTTGAAATAATCTAGATATACATACGTAACCATAGCACAACAAAAATAAAGTAAAAATTGAAAATTTTGATCTTGATCAGCAAAGAATGAATCCCATATACGTAAAACATCTGGTAAATGAAATTCTTGTGAAAGTAATAATGTTAACCAACGAAATGCAAAAAATTCTGGTTTTAATTTTTGTTTATCCAATAACTCATAGACTTCATTATCAATTTTTTTTAATAATGATAAAAATTTTTGCATACGTCCAAGTATACCGAATTCTGAATTATCATAAATTTTCATAAAATTATCTCGAAGATGTGTCATTAAACTTGTAAAACAATAAAATGTATCTGCTTCAGCATGTTCTAAAACGGAAAAAAGATGATCACAAATATTTTTGTATTCATCCTGTCCTTACCTCTCCATTCTGTATTTGGATCTGTAGCAAAAGTATAATAAATTGGTCCAATAATTTCATTCATGCCCTGTGTATAACCTTGTCCGGAATTCAGTTTTGAATAAACAAATAAAATTCTTTCAACAACTTCCCAATGTGCTTCACATCCGTTAGCTAATACTTCATATTCGCTATTATCATTTCTTATACTTTGTTGTAAAGAATTATTTGATTGAAATTCTAATCGACCAGTTAAACGTGATTGAGAATGGGATTCAACTTTAAGTGATGTTGATACAATACGTTTACGTAAACTTTCAAAACCAACTTCTTGATTCATTATTTCAGCACATGGATACTCTGTTTGACGTTGAAAAAATGATAAATCTGGACAAAGACGTCTATTGAAAAAACAAAATAAGAATATAAATTAAAAAGATTTGATTTAGTAACAAACCGAACATCTTTATCAATTTGTAATAATACTTCATTCTCTTTAAAATAAACGGCCCAGGAACTATTTGGTGCAGAATTTAAAGGCTAAATATGAAAATAAATGTTTGAAAGAAATATATTTGTTTAAGTAAATAACGAACATGATCAACGATATTCGATTGAGGTGATGATGCAAGACCTGGTTGTATGATAGTTTCTCGAATATAACCACGATATAAATCTCTGAATATAATTTCGAAAATAAATTAACTCTTAATTATTTAATTGGTACCGTTGTTTAGACAGATGTGATGACCATTTTGTTTGATCAAGTAGAAGATAATTCAATAGAATCTATGTATTTATTTTAGATTAAATTTAATATTTATATTGAGTTTGTTTTTACCTTCCATGTTAAACTACGAATACCATTATCAGTTGGACAACCTATGAAAAAATAACTCCGCTTTATAAATTAACTTTTTATCAAATAAATTAACCATTAAATGCAAGAATTTTAAGTTTTTTGAGATCAATTATATCACATTTAAATAATGTTTCAAATTGTTCGATTCTATTTAAATAAAAACAAAAAAAGTAATGAGTTTTGAAACTCAAATATTATTTATTTTTTACGTTTTTTGATACCGTGTCATTTGTATTATTTAATTGAACTAAAATAAAAAAAAATTGTATGATATACACACGTGGGATGATCGATAGACATATAATCTAATTTGATTTGTTAAGAAATACAATCACTTATATTATTAGAGAGATGTCGTAAGAACTGGGAGAAATGAAAAAAAAATATGATTTTTTGTTATAGTTGTCAGAAATGATGTTTAAAATCATTATCGATCATCATTTATACTAGTTTATGAAGTTTGTATCTTAAATAGTTTGTTATATACTTATCAAGACTACAATTGAAAGCAGTTGAAGTTTGAATTGTCGATAAAAAATGTAAAAGAAGATGAAAAAAGTAACAGCTATTCTTATCTGTAATGCACAAGGTGAGACGATATCTACTAAGAAAAAAGAAAGAATGGCAAAACAAAGTAGATATGTAATATTTCGTTTCATGTTATACTTGACAAGTAAATTCTACTTATTGTTATCTTTCTCATTGATTCTCAACTATACATATCTTTATATAAAATAACTTTTAAAGATCTATATTATAAACTATTAATTAATGATTCAAGGAAATGCAATTAACTATTTTCACTAGAATCTTAAGATTGTTAAAATTATTCAGAACTGATAGTTTTGTTTGGGAGAAACATTTTTATGTTTCATTCCTAAAATCTGTCAGGAAGATGCTTATTCTATATAGCATAGACAACAAAGAGTAATAGTTTTTTTTCAAGATTTCAATGTTACATGTTTGAAATCATTCAAATTTGTTCATAAGAAATAGATTGTTACCCACGTTGGCACCCTCATCCACATTATCGATGATATCTGCTTCGATTTCTATTTTCTAAAATTTAAAATACTTTGAACACTTCATAACAATTTGAAAACGGGTAAGTTTTTTCCTTGATGTTCAATAAAATCGAATTTATCTTTAATTTACTGTATAGAGCTCATCAAGTTCTTCTTGAAAGATGTTGAGAACGGGCTCATTTCTCTGAAACTATATTAAATTTCGTATAGTATCAATTTATTTTCAGTACAGCACAGTATCTTATAATCAAGAAATAATTTATTATCAAAGCAACTGAACAAACAACAGTTACAGGTGCAGCAAACGCCAAAATTAGCATTTAATTTCCATAGACTAGAAACTTCCACCACCCTATCCACGAGGGACTGACCGTTGACGTGAGACGTAAAAATCGGACTTCGTCCAATGGAGGATTAAATGTTACATTAAGCCATGGGCGATTCGGAGCTGTTTCATTTATAAGCTCTTTCACTACACGCAAGCGATTCAGGTTATCACCAGCCCAAAGAGTATGATGTGTCGGCCCGTGCGAACTCATATGAACTTTAAGACGAACGCATGAAACGCGGTATTTCTCAGTCAAGTCCAGTTGAACATATTGTGGGGCATAGCCAATAGAATTCCAGCCATTATCTGAATTGTCAGGATCAGTCAGACTACTTGCTTGGTCGGCTACAGATCCATAATGAGGGCAGTAGTACCAGAGGTTAGGATCGCAGAAGCGAGAGGCACTTACAGCGGCAGACTTGGATAGGGCCTGTGTAATATTGTAGGTGACTAGATAATCACAAAGATCATGACAATCCAATTGTTGTGATGATGAATACTCGAAGAAGAAAGACAGAGCAGTAAAGATAACTAAGATCGATTGCATATTTTTTATGTTCCTGTGTTGAACGACAAAGTAATATAATTATATTTTTCAAGCATCGATACCTTCTTTTCTACACTCACGGATCGTGTGAAAATATTCCGAGAATATCATATGCTTTCTGAAAGGAAGTATATTTGCCTGGTCGCTAATAATAGGTTTTTGATATCAAATTACCTGACCACCAAACCACTTGGAGTGATGCTTCAGCTGTTTACAGCCTAATATTACATACACAGCCTTCATCGACTATGTGAAGTTTCAACAGCATTACCATTATTAGTCGTGATTTTTCTCTTCCTCTTTTTTTCATTGCAAATATACTGTGAGAACGATCAGCACATGTCAAAGCGCATTTTACTAAATAGCGATGAAGTAGTATTAATCGTTCGAAGCTAAGACATGAGTCTGTGGGTGAGAGTGTAGGTGAGGGTTTGAGTTGAAAAGGTTTACATTTACACCTATAACCACACCCACACCCACACCCACACCCACCCACACCCAAACCCACACACCCACACCCACACCCACACCCACACCCACACCCACCCACACCCACACCCACACCCACACACCCACACCCACACCCACACACCCACACCCACACCCACACACACACACCCACACCCACACACACACACCCACACCCACACCCTCAACCATATATATGCCATCCACACCATTACCCATCTCAAATATTAATTGTAAAATCATACCCTCGTCTATTGTACATTTTCGAAAAAAAGAAAGAAAATCGCTTGTTTTTGTTGATGTAGTAGCTTATAATGTATATTACTTGTTTTATTTCTCTTTACTTGTAAAGCTACTGACAAAAAAGAAAGGATTGAAAAATATGCTACACTTACCATGAAAAAATAAGAAACCCTCTGAATAATCAATCTTAACAAAGAGAATAAACAACGTGTTTCAAATGGTACGAAACTTTCACATCGTTATTTAATAGTGCTGAAAGTTACACAAGACGCATGCACAAAAACGATACAAAATTTATACAACTGCGAAATTTCTATTACTAAACTCTGTATCTTATATCTGATGGCTTCACAAGAATCTTCCACATCATGTAACATTTCGACTGGTACATCGCATCAACAGACTAGTGTCAGTAATGACACGACAGATAGTACATCTTCGCATCGTGTTAAATCGCATGCCATTGAATATATCACTCTTGTTTGGTTGAATTCTGACATCGCTGTAACGGAAAAAGACATTGAAGGTTCCAGATCAGGACTTTACCATTGGGTGAAGTCATTCAAAATGTTCACTGATCCTGACAAATGTGTTGATTTTATAATTAACAACGACGACGGGCATATTTTCATGATTACTTCGATTGATCTTCATCAGCAAATCATGTCAACGATCGAAGGATTAGCACAATTATGTTGTGCCTATATTTTATGCGAGGATAAGTCAAAATATGAGCACATGATCAACAAATGTAGAAAAGTAAAGGGAATTTACACTGAAATTGAATCTATATATCATGCAATCAGGCGAGATGTTCGTCACTTGAATAGTATTATGATACCAATAAGTATCGTCGCACCAACTCATGCTACCAGTTTGGACGAACTTGATCAATCTTTTATGTATTCTCAATTACTGAAAGAAAGTTTTCTTGAAATTTCTCCCGATATAAATTCAAAGAAAGAATTCACTGATTTCGGCCGTTCTCAATATGCTAAAACTGATAAAGAAAGGCAAAAATTTGAGGAATTCGAAAAACAATATAATCCATCACTATCTATCTGGTGGTACACTCGGGAATATTTTATTTACGGACTACTCAACAATGCGCTTAGGACCCAAAATATCACGGTTTTACTTAAAATGGGATTTTTTCTTCGCGACCTACATCAACAAATCGAACAACTGCACTCAGAGGCACACGAACAAACTCAGTTGACTGTTTACCGAGGGCAAGGTATGTCGCATCTTGAATTTGAAAAGCTGAAGAAAAGCGAAGGTAGTCTTTTATCATTCAACAACTTCTTGTCAACAAGTACGAATTGCGAGATAGCTTGTTTTTTTGCAGACAGTGCTTCGGGTAACCCTGATGTGGTAGGAATTTTGTTTCAAATGGAAATCGATTCATCAGTATCAAAGACTCCGTTTGCATTACTGGACAAAATCAGTTGCTTTAAGGAAGAAGAGAAAGAAGTGCTTTTTTCAATGCACACTATTTTCCGTATTGGCGAAATAGACCTAATCAAAGATGGATTGTGGGTAGTAAATTTAACGTTAACAAATGATAATGATCCACAGCTGGCTTCTCTTACGAAATATATGAGGCAGGAGATAGGGGGAATGATTAGCATGTTTACAATAAGTAAAGTTAGTAGCATGTTTCGAATAGGTCAACTGATGATTAGAATGAATGAGATTGATAAAGCCAAAGAGATATATGAGAATTTACAGAAAACAACTCCCATCGATAGTTTCAACGATCTGGCATTATGTTATCATCAACTCGGATGTATTTATCGTTTGAAATGTAACTTTGACGATGCGCTATCAAATTTACAAAAGGCAGTTGAAATTATGCAGAAGTCTAGATCACAAGATCATCCAGATTTAGCAACTCCGTATCATAACATCGCTTTGGTGCATCGATCGGCAGGAAGAAATTCGGAAGCACTTTTATATTATGAGAAGTCCCTTGGACTTATGCAAAATTCTTTAGAAGTTCCATATCAATATCTAGCTGGTACTCATTGCAACATCGCTGCAACGTATCAAGCACTAGGACAATACTCCAAAGCACTTTCATAATATCAGATGGCGCTCGAAATCACACAAAAATCTCTTCCTACGAATCATCCTGATCTGGGTACTCTTTATAATAACATGGCATCCGTGCATTACTTGTCAGCAGAATATTCTAAAGCACTCTCGTTCTATGAGAAATCAATTAACATTATGCAAAAGTCATTGCCATCCAATCATCCACAGTTAGGTTCTACTTTCGTTAATATTGGTACAGTACATCAATCAATGGGAGAATATTCCAAAGCACTCGTATATTATGAAAAAGCAGTTGAAATCTATGAGAAATCCTCGACATTTGATCACCTCGATACAGCTACTCTGTTTGAGAATATTAGTATGGTTTATGACTCGACGGGAGATTATGCGAAAGCACTCTCATATTGTGAAAGAGCCTTAGAAATCAAACAGAAATGTTTGCTACCTAATCATCCTGATCTAGGAAACTCATATAGCAAGTTTGCTTCGCTCTATCGATCAATGGGACAGTATAAGAAGGCACTTTTCTATTACGAAAAGACACTCGAAATTAGACAGTTATGTCATTCCCCTGATCATCTCAGCTTAGCAGACACCTATGAAGGTATTGCTGTGTTGCACTACTCCATGGGACACTATGTGGACTCACTTATTAATTATCAGAAAGCCATGGAAACGTATCGGAAAATTTTTCCATCTGATCATGCAAAGTTGGCATCTGTCTATCATGGTATGGCCTTGGCGCTGTATTCCGTGGGCCAATATTCTACAGCACAATCCTCCTACCAAAAAGCTCTCGAAATTCAAAAGAAATTTCTTCCATCTAATCATCCCGATGTAGCAACTACCTACTGTAACATTGCATTGTTGCATCGATCATTAGGAGAATATTCAAAGGCACTTTTCTACTATGACAAGTCGCTTGAAATTCGACAAAAATGCTTTGCAGCGGATCATCCAGACTTAGCAGCAACCTATAATGGTATTGCGCAGGTATATCGTTCTATGGAGGAATACTGCAATGCACTTTCATATTTTCAAAAGACACTTGAAATTCAGCAAAAATGTCTTCCATCAGATCATCCAGCTTTGGCTTTCACTTACTACGGCCTTGGTACTGTATATTACGCGATGAAAGATAATTCGACAGCACTTTGCTTTTATCAAAAAGCACTTGAGATCTTCACCAATTGTTTTCCATCAAACCATGCTCATACGGTTACCACGTATGGAAATATTGCATTGGCGCATGAATCAATGGGAGAGTATATGAAAGCTGCTTCTTATTATGAAATGGTGCTTGAAGGAAAACGGAAGAGTCTTTCAGCCAATCATCCTTTGCTAGCTAAGGACTACAACAAGATCGGTTCAATGCATTTTCTCGTTGAAGACTATGGTGAGGCATTATCATACTATGAGATGACTTTCGAAATTCTAGTTAAAGCATTGCCTTCTGGTTATCCATTATTGGCTATTCTATACAGAGATATTGCCGATGTTTATCGAGCTATGAGACAATATTCTTGCGCACTATCATACTATAAGAAAGTACTTGATAGCATACAGACCGTGCCTTCCTTCTATTTTCCATGGCAACTAACTGTTCGTAAAAATGTGATTGAGATGTCGGAAAAACTAAATCAATATGACGATACTGTTAATTAGAGTGGGTATAGTAGCGGTTTGATTGTGCGTCTTTCTTCACTTACCCACTCTCAATCGTGACTAGATACTCAATATAAGATTTTTAGAGAGCATCATCGAAGCTTTCAATCAGAACATTTTGTCAAATGCATTGTTTACTTTATCTCTATAAAGAGTTACTTTTTCAATATTTTATTAATCTCTTTTTCATTTTTCTGAAGGTTTGATCAGAGAACTGTATTTAATCAACAGATCTACTCTCACACACTCGGAGGTGTGAGTGTAGTTCTTTTGCTTGTCCACACCCACACCCTGGTGGATTCTGAGTATCAATATCGATCCGAGTTGAATTATCTTTGGTTTCAGTAGCAACCATTAGATGAATATGATGAAAGAAAACAAAGAGCTGTTTGTTTAAGAAAATATTTTCAGAAAATCTTAAATTACATGAATGATCAACAGCGAGATAACAATCACGAATGTTTGATCTACATGAGTAGCACATATCTTTCTTTTATTATCCAGTTCAGTGTAATAAAAGTCTACAGAACAAGCGATATAATAGTATGCTTTTTCTGATCTCATATCACGATCATTCTTTTATACATATTAGTTTATGTTTATATAACTGCCAATCCATAGTTTGGCATTCGTTTGTGCAATAACGTGCTTGTTTACAATTACTGCAAATATATGGTGCACTTGCTGCTCCACAGCATCGGCACATATTAACTACATATTCTGATTCACTTTGCATCATAATTGATGAGAATTCATCAATACGAATTACTGGTTTCCCGTCACTTGCACCTATTCGTAGATATGGATTGATAATATTCATTTTACTTCCAATTCGAAATACTTTTTTTATTAAATATTCTCCTTGATCTTTAGGAAAACCATAGATACATAATTTTTTGTAATCGAGACGTTCATCTTCTATCATTAATTGAATTGATGGTGCCCATGAATATGCTTCTCCGATAATTGTCACAGACAATACATATTGTTCATAGACATGATCTTTTACTGGATCCATATCTCGAAATGTAATTGATTTTAATCCAGCTAAGGATTTAGCTATTCGTTGAGAAACTCGGGCTTGATAAGTAAAAGGTATTGAAATAAGACCTGGTTTGTTTTTCGCTTTTAACAACTGATTTTGCCATTGACGTTGTTCTACTATAACTTCAATTCGAGCTGAATCTTTTAGTCGTGCTTTATTATCAATACCAAGAGTAGATAGTTTTATTTCGATCGAACATATGAAATCAATCTGAAGTTTAATGGGAGTTTTAATGCTTGGATCATAAGGTAAAAAGCATGGTAATTGCAGTTTTTCTGCTTCTTCGCCCATTCGATACATTTTTGTAGCATTTTCTAAACTTTGGTCGTTTACGCTCATAAGATAGCACATAGCCATTGCATAATATGAATCAGGTACTTTTCGGTGGTCTTTAGGTGCAACAGCGAGAAATGCGCGATATGCTTCGATCGCTTCATCCATATCCTTTCCGAGTAAACGTAATGCACCTGCTTTATCATACAATAACTGACAATAGTTTGGATCTATTTGTAATCC